CAAGCATAGAGCCCAGCATCTCATTATCTGGTCAAATCCAGTGGCTTCTTGAGGAGAAGGCACGAGCAACAGAGTAAAATCTCAGTCAGTTAAAAGCCCCAAGATAACATCAGCAACGATATATAATGTTAAGGGATAAACTGACAAAGTATTGAGCAACCAATTTGTCAAAATTGGATGCATGGTCTTAACAACTTCCTGTTACTATTTCAATGACATTTCAACAATTGAGGTGCAAAACAGTTTTAGGAAGGACGTGCAGAAAAATCTTCCATACCTTGGTGAGGAGTACTTAATCCCCGTGTCGTACCTAGTAAGGTGTGTGTGAGTCCATGTTGACCAAGCCTTCCCTGTTATTATCTGCCAATCCTTTTCAATTTGTGTGTGTGTGTGTGTGTGTGTGTGTGTGTTTGTGTGTGTGTGTGTGTGTGTGTGTGTGTGTGTGTGTGTGTGTGTGTGTGTGTGTGTTGGGGGCGTGGCTCTGGAGTGTCCCCTCTGGAGGTCATTCCAGCGAGAAAGAGGACTCAAAGTTGGAGCTAAGTAAAAACCAGAGATAGCTCCTCTCCGTGGTCCTGAAGGAAGTTTACTGTTCTTCTGTTTCTGAAGACCGCTCAGGTTTCCTGGTAGTTGTTCCGATGGCCTTGGAGCCTATGATGAAGGATTCGGCTTCTTCCATCTTGTGTGGTAAGTCCAAAGGTGGGGGGATACCCTCTGAGTTCTTGGCCTCCGAAGGCATTCCAGTCCCCGTGGTCTCTGGCAGTTGGGATGTGGTCCTTGGCACCGTACTAACAGCACTTGGTGGTTATCTGGGAGACTCCAGGTTTGGGAAACAAGCCTCCTCCTGTCCACCTGCTCCACTCTGGTCCCCAATGCTCTGTGCACACGACAACTATGCATGCAATTCGGAATCTGTATTGCTGGAGTGCCGTGGACTACCCAGGGAGCTCTGTGTAGCGGGTCCGACTGCTTCCCTGATTGCCTGAGGGCTTGAGCTGGGGACAGGAACAGGATGGGGTAGAGCTTTAATCTGGAGAAGTAGTCTTCAAACCACCGCATGGGGGCTGGAGGCCTCAGGACAAGTAGCGTCCCATGCCTGGATTGCATGATGCCACAACCATGCAAGCGTCTGGAGCCAGTAGTGGGGGCCACTGCACCAATTGGCGGTAGGCTCTGCCTGCTGGCTGACCGGCCAGGGAACTCTGGGATTTGGTTTCTTTGATTGCTGCTTAGAAAGCTCAATGATGAATCCTCAGGGCTTTGGGTACGTGAATCAACCCTAAAAATTCACAGTGATGTAAATCTCACCCGATGGACCTCTACCTAATTTGGTCTAAACCATGTGTTTTTAAAATTGTATAATTAAATATATTTTCAACACATTTTACTACTCAGAAATTGGGCGGGAGAGCAAAGAAACCTTCCAACACCTGTGAAATTGTGAGGAAGCTGTGTAGTGTAACTACCAGGCACATAACAGGTAACTTGTAGAAAATAGATTCAAGATAACAATAGACAAGAGTAAAACTACAAAGATTCCCCTATATATAGGGGGAATCAAGAGCAACCCTGACAACCTATTAACAAAACTATTAATATTTCCATATTGTTTCCTAAATCTTTAAAGGGGGGTATTAAGGGAGAAGGCCCACCCAATTCCCCACCCTCCACAGGTCCCGGATGTAGGGTATGCTTTGAGGTTCTTGCTCAAGTGGTTTTGATATTTTAACAGTTATGAATAGCTGTCATTCTTGTCACTACAAGCTCTATGAGGTCTTTGTAGAATCCACTGATTGACGTAATCCACCCTAGAGTCTCGGTTTGCCCCGTTTTTCGCTGCCAAGATATACCTGAGATGGTTGGTTGATCTGTTGTGTCTTCTGTCTTCTCTTGGTTAGGGTTCTGAGCTGCTGTTTTAGTTTTATGCCCTCCCATGGAAGTGGTAACCCAAGAGGGAGGAGCCCATGATTTACCTCCGAGGCATCTCCCACTCCCAGATTATGCACTCTCCAGATAGTTCTATGGTTTGACTTGACAGAACTATCCACAGTGCTAGCTTCTGTCAGCTGAACCTGTGGCTAAGCCCAAATGACCCTCACTCACTCTAATTTTGTTTGACCAGTAAGAATAATCAGCCCAGCCTGGCTTTGCCTGATCTAATCCAACTGACTTGATGTCAACTGAGGAGGAGTCTCAAGTGTGAGTGTGTCCTTGATGGCTGATGGTATGGCAGAAGATGATGATGGAGCTGATGAGGCTCCTCTTATTGCGTCAGTTCTAGGAGCCAAGGTGTCAGCTACAGATGGACTGCATCTGCGAGGTGATGCACCAAAGCATGCATAGTTTTGAGGATTGATGTTGTCCCGTGGAACAACACTTGCATTTCCACTACTCTTTGCTAAAACTTCCCCTGCTCAACGTGACTCCTTGGGCAGTTTTTGAAGTGAGGATTCCAGGGCCTGGTATTTCTTTTTAATGCCCACTCTTCTTAGAATATGTCGTAAGAGCTGAGGACAGCCTTGTTTGAAATGTGGGTGATGGAAGAACTGCACCTGCAACAAAATTAAACATGCATCAGCAATATATTTCTAGCCAGGAGGCAAGTGAACACGTGGCAAAAACAAACTCTACTAACTAGAGACTGAATAGACACATGGCAGCTATACTTGGCTTTCTACTGATGTGGAATCATGGTTAATAATATGTGGCTGAATATATGCATGAGTACAGGTGTTTCATCCTCTGAAAAACAGACATGCCCTGGCAAGGAATATTGTGGAAGCAGCACTGGTTATTTCTCAAAATAGAAGGTTTCCGTAGTTGTGTCATTATAAAGTATCTATTATTACTACACACAAGTGACGATATGCAACACCTGCTGCCCTGCCATCAACTGAGACAAAGGAGTGGTGGACAGTATTTTCTGGACAGCCACTGCATTGAGAAAAGTCAAGCACATGTGCTCTGGCTGAATATGCATGACATATTATGTATAATAAGAGTTATGGTTGAGTCTTGTGGTTTTGGTAGTTATTGTTGCTTAGGTGATACTCTTGAAAGGGTAGCTCAATTCTTTACACCCTGCCAAGGGTCTTCTCTGCCAACAGCAAGTCATCCTGCCCTGACTGATTCTGAACAAAATATATCCTGTTGTGCACTGTCAAAGTACCCCCTCTGCCGAATATAAAGCTAGCCTTGAAAAAGTAAAATTAGCCACTTGGTCAGAATCCCATCTTGGGGTCATTCATTCTGCGCCTCTTGTCTCCATCTTCCATCCCTTAGGTTCTGGCCCCTTCAATGGCCCCTGTTGAAGTCCTACAGGTCAGGACAGGGAAGTAGTTCTGAGGATTGTGGCAGGCACCCTTGGCTGCCTTCAAAGCCACTAGCAGCAGGCAGAGTGGAAAGTGGAAGATTAGGGACATCAACAGCAGCATTAACTGTTCCAAAGCATTGAGCTTTGAGAAGAGCCTGATCAAAGTAAATTATTTCAGGAACATTACAGTACAAATTTTGTAGCACATTCCTACTTCAGAATCTACCTGTCATTTCCCTTGAGCTCTGTTGGGACTTAAGCACAATAGTGCATGAACCACAGCTCTTCCTTAGGGAAGGTATTCATAATGAGAAAGCCAGCATTGTATAGTGTCCACAATATCCACCTATTTTAAAAGGAATGACTACATATGTAGAACTTGAAGATAACACATACTCAGACAAATACCCACAGCACAGGATTTGGCCACTAGTCCTTTGGGGAAAACCTTCAACATTCTCCTGAGAGAGTGTTGGGTCAAGTCCTGGTTTAGGGCAGGAGTGTCCAGGTAGGGCTGCTCATTATTCAGAAGGACACCTTGGCACACCCCTCAGGACCCTGGCTTACAACCTTTGTCTAATGTCTGCTGCTGTTCTTTAATCAAATCATTCAGTGTTTTTGATTACACATTCATTTTGTATGCATTGACTGGGACAAAATGTGAATAGGAGTCACCATGCTTAAGGATGGGAAAAAATTCTGTGAAGGCAGGGTTTCTAGAGACTCCGAGTGCTTGCACTCTCTAATGACATCTCTGGTAGGCATGAGTTCTCAAATCTCCCTCTGGGATAGAAGGATTCTGACTTTTTAGTCTCTTTGTCTCCCCAGAGCTACTCTGCTAACAGCAGGGCACTTCAGGTCATCATTTTCAAGGTCAGCTTAATTCCAATGAGCCCCATTGCAGCATGAATTCCAAACACAAGAGGACACAGCCAGGTGCCAAAAGCCTCCCATAGCTTAGCATTGCAAAGAGGGCAGGGCTAAGCAAAGCAGTTGTGCACAAGTCCAGGGTTGCTGTAGCTGACATCAATTCATATACTGCGAGAGGAATTGGGAAGAACAGTACTAACCCACATAGGCAGCAGTGTGGCCCATTGGCAATGGCCCATTACCAACTCACAACACGATTCATGTTGAATGTCCTTTTCCTAGTATGTGTATGCTGTTCTGTGGCCCAAGAATTTAAATCTCCCTGACTATTACACTCACTGACTCACCGATCCTCACATAGAAGTCAACACAATCTTTCCAAAGACAATGCTTTCTGCTAGCCCTGTTTCAGGCAAGTTACGAAAAGGATTTTCACATTGTCAGTGTTACATAGAGGCAATGTCATCTGGTAGGCATTTGTAACCTACCACAATCATTTATACAGTTAGATTGAATGAAGCCTTTATCCTAATTCATCGGCAAGAAAGCCAGGCTGATGCCATTCTTGCGATTCATTTCTTCGACTTAGGTCTTGTTACTTGTATGTATTTTTAGATTTTTTGAAATATAAACATAATACAAATTTTAATATAAATTGTACTTTAGCATGGCCCACGTGTCCCAGTTTCCCAGCTGCTGTGTGTCAGTGGCATGTTGGGAAGCAAGTGGGGGTCAAAGGTGAGATGTGCTGCTGAGGTAGAAGACAGCATATAGTGATGTCACAATGGTTCTGTATGAGATGTGGTGGAGGGAGAGAGTGGTTAGTCTGGACATTTCTTCTCAAGCATTCAGAGGAACAACAGTCTTCAAATCCTTCAGCAGAACCAAGGGACAGCAATCAAGTTGCTTCGAGGAACTGAAGACAGAACTCATTCCAGGTTTTAAGATGTGCTGTGAGTGGCGGTGTCTGAGCCCAGACATTCTCGTGGAAGCTCCAGAAAGTGAACAGCTATTGCTTGAGGATACTCACCTAAGGTCTGTGATTGAAGAAGAAGCCTTTAAACTTTTATCCCAGCAGTCCTTGCTGGACAGACCGTCTTCTCCTAGCGATGGATTCACTCATCAGGAACAGAATAACCATCATGTTCTGGGGTTTCCTAGAAAACTTTGGCAAAGAGTGGAAAGCCCTGAATTCAAATCGATTTGGTGGGATGAAGGAGGAACCTCCATCGTGATAGATGTAGAGCAATTTCAGACAGAAGTTTTAGAGATGAAAGGTCATTTCAGAATCTTTGAAACGTGCAACATGAAGAGCTTTGTTCGACAGCTTAACCTTTATGGGTTCAGGAAGATGCAGTCAACTTTTCCGCGATCGGCTTCCCTATTCCACTTTATGCCGGAATGTTGTGATGTCTTAGGGACAAGCAAGGTGATGAAGATTTCCGTCCCTTGGATTCCAAGAGAATATATAATGTGTATTGATAGTGCTAAATTCTTGTAAAGGATCCAGAGTAGGAGGCCTGAAGGATGCTTTCAAATTTAACATAGGATATTTAGTATTTGGTTGTTGCAGTTGTTGTGGGAGAGGTTATTATTAACAAGTTCAATAGCACTGTGCCTTTTGTCTGTACACTGCAAGAAGACAGTCATGTTGGTGTGCTGTGTGCTGGAATCTCCACCTTTCTTTTCCTTTGTTGGCATTTTAGCAATCTTGAACCAAACTGTGCTTCAATGAACTAAGCATAGGAAACTCATACCAATAGCAATATCAGACTAATCTCTCTTTCTCTCATTCTCTCTCTCTCTCTAGTTCTTCCTATGCAATGTGTGTGTGTGTGTGTGTGTGTGTGTGTGTGTGTGTGTGTGTGTGTGTGTGAGTGAGTGTGTGTGTGCATAGTTGGTCTAACGAGATTTTGGAAAAATAATAAGAGGCTTTATGAGCACATGATGCAATACCAATATTGCACTCAGAACATTCAAGACATGGCTTATGAAATGGTGATACAGATTGTTTGGCAAATTTTTCCAGTTACAAAATATCTTAGTTCCTTGTCAGGGCATGTCTGTTTTTCAGAGGATGAAACACCTGTACTCATGCATATATTCAGCCACATATTATTAACCATGATTTCACATCAGTAGGAAAGCCAAGTGTAGCTGCCATGTGTCTCTTCAGTCTCTAGTTAGTAGAGTTTGTTTTTGCCACGTGTTCGCTTGCCTCCTGGCTAGAAATATTGCTGATGCATGTTTAATTTTGTTGCAGGTGCAGTTCTTCCATCACCCACATTTCAAACAAGGCTGTCCTCAGCTCTTACGACATATTCTAAGAAGAGTGGGCATTAAAAAGAAATACCAGGCCCTGGAATCCTTACTTCAAAAACTGCCCAAGGAGTCACGTCGAGCAGGGGAGGTTTTAGCAAAGAGTAATGGAAATGCAAGTGTTGTTCCACGGGACAACATCAATCCTCAAAACTATGCATGCTTTGGTGCATCACCTCGCAGATGCAGTCCATCTGTAGCTGACACCTTGGCTCCTAGAACTGACGCAATAAGAGGAGCCTCATCAGCTCCATCATCATCTTCTGCCATACCATCAGCCATCAAGGACACACTCACACTTGAGATTCCTCCTCAGTTGACATCAAGTCAGTTGGTCTCATCTGGTCAACATCCTCATTCTAGAGCCTCTGCCATGAATGTTGTTTCAACCACACATTCTTCTTTGCAGAACTACACAAGGATGCCACCGTGCACTCATTCTTACCCAATTATGCCGCAGCCATCTGGGTTTCCCCTCACATACGTGGAATTCTGGTCCCATCAGCAATCATCTCATCCCTCTTTCCTTGTAGGCAATGCACACATCCCCAGGAGAATGATGGCACAGCCATCTTTTGCTTACTCTCTTACTCATTTCCAAAATGACCCCACTCACACTACAAAATGACCATGAAAACTGCTATTACACCTTTGCATTTCCTCTGTGGAAGCATTTCATAAAATGTAGCCAGTGGGTGAATGCTGCAAAGAATATGCTTGCATAATGTTGCAAATAAAAGCATCACTACCTGTGCTTCATGGCTTATGTGTTTCATTCTCAGCGTGCTTTTGGGATGCAACAAAATGGCATATTGCCAGGGAGTAGGCTGAAATTCATGCTGAGTGCTCAAGAGGGTTAAGTTCCTTGTGTGCAGTATCTTAGAGCACACAGTGGAGTGAGCCCTGCTCAGCATCTGAGGAGCACAGAGACATGTGTGGTAAGCATTGGCAGAAAGTGGCATGAAATGTATAATTCTTGGTGATCATATCCTGTATAATGCAGTTGTTATGAGATAAATCAATGCCCAACAATTTTCCCACTTCTGTCTGCCCCATTTTACTGTTCAAATGTTTTTCTCTAATGTCTCGGCAAGGTGGGGAAGTCTGATAGCAGATACAACCTTAGCTTTCTGCTCAAAGGGTATCATTTCATTGTAGTCTACTACCATATTGAGAAGGTAGATTGAACTGTTCCTTTTTTGTCTACTTTTCATGAGGAGTAACTATGCATACTGCAATGTGTTTCATATTCTGGGAATTTGTAAAGTTTAGGCATCCCTGCGTGAAATTTAGAGATCCCACCTGGATCTGCTGAATCCACCTTCTGTTGTATGTTCAGGTGGAGAATGTGATGTCTTCTGGAGGATTTTGCACTTGTGTTCATAAGGAATATTGGTGTATGCTTGCTGTGATGTTGTCCTTCTTTCCGGTTTTGATATGAAGGTGATGATGGAAGGCATTTTGAAGGATTGTCTTTCTGACTGCTGTTTTCTGTTCTTATGCAGGCTTCAGACTAGTTCTTCCTGACCCATTTGTAAGAATTCAGCAGTGTGCTCATCCAGGCCTTGAGTTTTGCTTGTTGTTGCAGGGAGGATTCCATTTGCACTCTTCCTTGACAATAGAGCCATTGATGTTTTTAGTTATGCCTTGAGTATGATGAGGAGAATTTTCCTTTCCAGAAATCTCTTCTGAATTGAGCCATGTACCTGCTTGTAATCATTCCTGATGGTTTGATGACTGTCTGGGCCGCCATTTCCTTGCTGCTGCCTGTTTTACAGTTTCGTGTTTCTTCTCGCACTCTGAAGTGTGTCCCTCATGGAGTAAGGATTGTACATTTTCATGAGACCTGTCTCATTGTCCCATTGATAGTATAAGCACTTTTGTCCCTCTGTTTGTATCACAGCTGGCCGGATCAAAGTCATCCATGTATTGATTCTATTTGCTAGCCTTGTTAGGCACTTTCAGATGAAGAGATGGCTTAATATCATAGACATGTCTAGGTTTGGTTCTGGGCTATGATTACATATGTATTTTTGTACTACCCTAAATTTGTCTCTCAGGTTTTATATGATCTATTGAGATTGATGACTTTACTTATTCCAGGAATATTTCTTCATATATTACCTCACAATTTTTGTAACTCAGTTTTCATTCATCAGCATGAGGTTTAGATTCTGATCCTTTGTATGCTGAGTTATTTTCTGTTTGCACTTAACTGTCTCCAGTTTCAATCCATGCTGCTCTGAGAAGCTGGTAGGTTTTGATATTTTCAAGACCCCAGTCTTGTTTTGTGCCAGAGAATATTTGCATCTACACATACTTTCATACATATACGTATTTAGGGGACACAATTTAAATAGAATCCAAACACACACACACGTAAAATTGGTGGCTATTTTAAGTCACTGCCTCGAGTCGAGGATTACATCATAAAGCAAGTCAGTGTGATGCATTAGCCTGAATCAGCTGTATGGGAGTTCACAGTTTTCAGGAATATTGTGAAAGCAGCACTGGTTATTTCTCAAAATAGAAGGTTTCTGTAGTTGTGTCATTCATTTGGCAACATGTGCTACACCATGTAAAGCTTTCTGATTGAATGGGTAATAATCCCCTTCGTTCATTCAGAGCATGTTTGTGAACTCATGGCTCTGGACCATTTGCATTGTAGAAGCTTTGTGTTGTAACTGGGTATTTTTTCATCCTAAATTTTCTTGAAAGAAAATGCATGGAAAAAGGCACGCCTGAAATGTCCTTGGAGCAGCAGAAGACTTCATTTATTTTCAATTAAACGGAAAAGGATTTATGAAGGCGTTGTTGTTTAAATTAAGCAATGCTTAAATTTAAAGTCATCTGGCAGGTGAAATAAATAAGAAGACACATGCAAATATGTATCCAAACACATAGGCATTCATACTGTGTCTTCTAAAGTATTTATTATTACTGCACACCAGTGACGAAATGCAACTCCTGCTGCCCTGCCATCAACTGAGACAAAGGAGTGGTGGACAGTACCTTCTGGACAGCCACTGCATTGAGAAAAGTCAAAGCGCATGTGCTCTGGCTGAATATGCATGAGTTGGCTTATTGGCATTGCCAATAATTTAACATCTGTTATTCGTAGTGGGTAGAATTTTGTAATCTACATCGTTGAGCTTCACATATTCTCTTTGGCACATCTAAGTTCTTCCACAGTGTCTCAATCTACACGATTGGGTTTTCAGGTGCAGCAGATGCCTGGAACTTCACCATGCTGGTAGTTGTCCAAAGGCAGCATAGATTGATGCAGATGCAATTACGTAGGTCACCTAAAAACCATGAATGGGTTTGTCATTAATTCAATATTTCTGCTAGGAGATTGTTGTATGGCAGTCTGTTTTGCCTTTGGCTACAGAGGCTACTTACCCCTGCTCATTTCCCTTCAAGTGAGCATAGGAGATCTACTCTCTACTTCGCTTTCAGTTGTGTGCACTTTTCTTTTTGTGCACAGCAAACTTGTAGTTGGTGTTGTTCAACTAATTGAGATAATAAGCCTCTTGGGGTTGCAGAACATACATCACCTGCACTCTGCTATATCATTGAAACAATGTGGTCTTCACCTTCGTCCATAACATTCCTACTCTTTCCTTCCTATGACCCTCGTACCTATACTTAAAGATAATCTACATCAGCATTAGCTTATGATGCCAGTGATTATTCAGTATATCTGTGTCCTTATTCAGTATATCTACAATCAGCTTTTGTATAGCTGCTGGGTTTTGATGTTTCTATCCACTTCTGTTTCTTAGGGACGCTATTATTTTGTCTTCATTGATAAGTGAGCTTTTATTGAACACTACCAATCCTGTGTGCAATTTCATTCTTTCAGTTACAGCATTACGTCCCTCGTTTCTGACATGGCATTTGGTTTGAAATGTGTCATCAGCTGTAGGTCTTGTTTGATGTCCCGTGAATGTAGACTAGGCGCACATCTCTAAAATTGAGGGTCTTTCCTTGCCATGTCACCATGGAAAGTTTGGCAATAAAGTGCTGAGGAGAAAATACGTTTGGTCGTCCCAGCGTGGTGGGCTAGTGGCTAGAGTCCTCATCTTAAATGCTCGGGGGATCCCACATGGCCACTGGTTCTAATCCTGACAGCTCTGCTTCCCACCCACCTCCCTGCCTGAGGCCAGGAAGAGCTGTTGAGGCTGAGCCCGATTCTAAGGACCCTGCATCCACATAGGAGACCTGCAGGAGTTTTCTAGCTCCTGGCTATGGATTGGCTCATTACCAGCCATGTGAGGGATTACGGGTAGAAATGAAGTTCCTCTTCCATACAGTTCACTTGATGCCTGAGCTGTTCCTCTCTCATCATCCTAAGTGCAATTTTATATTTTAGCAGGCCTCTGGTTCTGAGAAGCGGTAGCACCTAAATATGAACACACGAAAAGGCTCATTGTTCTTGCATTTTAAGACTTGCTCTAGGTCAAGCCAACTGAACCAGGGATCTATTTCCTGATACAAATTGAGATATTTTCGTATTTGCGAAACAACTAGCAACTTGCATGTGTTTCTGCTGAACTGAATAGTATATTGGAAAGCAATTGTAAGAACTCTTCTTTAGCAAGAGCATGGGAAAACATCATGGCCAGGTACACACAGCTGATGAACAGAACTACAGCTCAATATCCCTGCTGCTAGAGCTATTGGGCAAGACTGCCACACTGAAGAAATTGAAGACAGAGAGGAGGAATTAAATCTAGGCCTGTTCTCAAATGACATGACGCTACATAGAGAAGAACCAAATGGACAGATCACAAGGCTCTAGACACTCAGAGGAGAGTTGGGTGGGTTAATTGAGTAACAAGTCAATGCATATACTCCTGCTGGAGAGCATGGGCTGGGATCGGGGCAGACCAGACTAGGCAGGGCTATAACACCTGTGTGCGTCATGTGGACCAGATCAGGCAAAAGCCAGGCTGGGCTGATTATTCCTACTGGTGCAAACAAAATTAGAGTGGGTGAGGGTTATTTGGGCATAGCCACAGCATCAGCTGGCAAAAGCCAGCACTGGGGGATAGTTCTGTCAAGCCAAACCGCACAACTATCTGGAGAGTGCATAATCTGGGTGTGGGAGAGGCCTGGGAGGGAATTCGTGGGCTCCTCCCTCTTGGGTTACCACTTCCATGGGAGGGCATAAAACTAGGAGAGCGGCTGGGGTGGAATGGGGTGTGGGACAGACTGGACTATTGCCACACATACTGGCAAACCAGGATAGGGGAAGGGCTGGAGGGGTTATTACGAGTCACTCCAACTAGGCTGCAGCTCCCACTATTTATGCAAGGGCCGAGTATGTGCTGGACAGAATCAGGCTAGACTGCAACACCCATTGGATTGGCGTAGCACCAGCTGTTTCCTTCACTTGGGGAGTAACTCATGAGATGGAAGATAGTACTCTATGACTCTCCTCCTTTCTCTATTTATTTCACTTTGCAATAAAAAACATAAATCTTAAAAAAAATAAAAAATCCACATAAGTGTAGAGAGTGAGAGAGACAGAGAGTCAAAAATGTGATCTGCCATCTGCAGGATCAAACCTCAAAGGACACAAACGAGAGCTGGGGCTGAGTGGATCCAAAGCTTGAGCCAGGA